GCCACCACAGGGATGGGATTTCTTGATGAAATCTCCGGCAAAACGCTTTAAAACTGGTGAGGAGAAGCGAGACAGTTCGAAACGGTATGAAGCAGAGAAGCGTGTGCGTAGGTGGAATGATTCTTGGCGGTTTAAAGAAGACGGGAGGCGCAGAGAATGGCCGTGTTCGAGTTGAGCTGCGCCTCGCCTGGAAAACAGACGAGAGCAGACGGAAGCAGCAGGGGGAGTGGCTGAAAGCTGGCGTTTAACGCCGGGGACACACCGGCCGCGGAAGCGCCCGAAGCGAATCGCTCACGAAGTCCGGCCGCTGCTCAGTTCAGATCAGACATTCGAGGCGCGTCTCGGCTCCGCTGTGGTTTTTCTTTTAACTACCTGGTGTCCTCAATTTCCTCAGCTCTTTTACTCTATGTGTATGTGTGTGTGTGTGTGTGTGTGTGTGTGTGTGAAAAGAGAGAGAGAGAGAGAGAGAGAGAGAGAGAGAGAGAGAGAGAGAGAACCTATGGTGTGAACCAGTTGTTTCTGCCAGTTAAATCTCTTGGATTTCCCTGCATGATGGATGAAGATATTGCGTTAGCGTTCACACTCGTTCAATTTTCAATTGTAATTCTGGTGCCTGTTAGCAGCTGAAACACATCGTCACATGTTTGTGGATATCATATATTGTATATGGAGACATGACTGTAATATTAAGTAAAGGTTATCAGCTGTAGGTTTAGTGTGCTCATAGGAAACGTGACAAAAGAACACAAAACACATTTCTCTTTATGGCCTATATAGTTGTCATCATCAACATAACATGATTTACAGAATACATGTGACCAACTAACATTTCATGTTCTACCACCGGATGTTTGGATCAAAATATGAACCAATCAGATCTTAGATCAGGTGAGAGCCAGGCGTTTCCCGTCATCATCTAGGTTTTGCAGCCGAGGGAGAGCAACTGCAGCACCTTGCTCCAAAATCTGCGGCCGTCTTGATCTCACGAGGTTATCGTTGTCTACGTATGCATGACGTCAGAGCACGTCGGCGTCAATTCGGTCACAAATCTAACCGGCATGCACTGCTCGCTGATCACTGCTAGACTAATCTGCGCAGAAATGGCTCATCTCGAACACGGCCAATGGCTCGAGTACAGCAAAGCGGAGTTGGTGATGTACTGCGTTGTATGCCGGAAGTATGCGACGACAAAATCGAGTTTTGTTGAGGGAACAAACAAATTCAAACTTGAATACGTTATTATGTTTGTGAATGTGCACAAAATAAAGGTTTATTACATTTAAAACGGTTCAGTTGTTATTTTGACTCGTTTTGGCAGCTGAGCAGCGGGGCCGGTAGATTCTTGGCAGGGCCGGTAAATATTCAGAGTTACCGGCCCGGCTGGCCGGTTGGTTTTGAAGTTAATGTCCACCCCTGATGCAGCTTTACATATAATTTATTGTTCACTCATACTACGTTACATTTCATACTGTGTGGAAGTCTGGGGACTGACTAATCAAACGTTAGTTAGTGCAATAGTGCTCTTACAAAAACGTGCAATACGTATTAATAAGGTAGATTATTTGGCACATACACATCTGTTGTTTTTAAAATCACATGTTATGAAAATTAATGATTTAGTATACTATAAAATAATGCAAATAATGTTACCCACTCACTACTGTTACCCACCCACTACCCCATAGAGACAGTGTCCTGCCCACGGCCAAAAGCACACAGATTAAATATCAGGCTTAATAAAGCAAATCATGGAAATCTCATAAATATTAGAACAAATTCAACTGAGCAGAAAACTAGAAGAATTAAATGTGGGTTATTGAACATTAGATCTATTTTTTCTAAGACTTTGTTAGTTAATGACTAGATTTGTGATAATCAGATCTCTTTGCTCTCTCTCACAGAATCCTGGCTGCAGCAAGAGGACTATGTTAGCTTAAATGAGTCGACTCGTAATTATTGAAATCATCATATTAGGGCTGAAACGATTCCTCAAGTACCTCGAATAATTCGAGCACAAAAAATCCTTGAGTCAAATTTTCTGCCTCGAGGCTTCGTTTAATTCAGGTTTAATTAATTCTTGGCTTTGCAATCGCCCGTGGTCATGTTTCACCCGGACCGAAATAAGTGACGCACATACACACTGCACTAAATGCACACGCTAGTAGCGAACGCAACTTAACTTTCTTTTGAGCCATGGCGGACAACGTGGACCCTGGTGGAGTGCGAAAAAGACACAAAATGTCAAAGGTGTGGGACCATTTTTCACGTCGTAAGGCGGAAAACGTACTCAGTGTAAATACTGTAAAATGGATTTAGCCTACCACACCTTATTCCTCGATGCTGCAACCTGACCAGGAAACATCCACATGTAAATGTCACTTCTGCAAGCGGACTCGGAGCCTCTACAAGATAATGCATTTAGCCTGTATTTCTATATATTCTGCGGACACTGTGCGACTTTTTCATTTGTAGCACTCAGTTTCAGCTCACACCGTACATCTGGTAGCAACACGTCGGACTTAAAATGTGCTAAAAATAGCAGTTTTTACAACACGTCGGACTTTTTACTGTGTTGTTATTGATGTCCGTTGTCCCTCGGGATTGCTGCAGGAGGACACAGGTATTTATGAGTGGCGGAGGAAAACGAAAGAAAGTAAATAAATGTTTTGTGATCAGTATAATTTGACATAACCACGGCAAACATGCTTTCGACAATCCTTGTTAGTGTGAGACAAAAAAATATAGAAATTAAAACGAACGTGTGTTAATAGGGAAACAGCTGGCGAGCCATGTTTGCGCATGCGGCGTGAGTGGTTTTGGTGCTGTTTGGGCCGCAGCCGCTCGCATTTGTTTACTGTGAAGTAAAGTAGAAGTGCTGAAGTTTTGAAAACTAATTTTGAATAAAACTTGAAGAATAACTGGCAATTGCTTTCTCATTTCAAGAGGTCTTTCAGATTTTATAACATGCTATTTTATATAATGGTTTAAAAACGCAAAAGAGTAATTTATTAGAGTACTCGATTAATCGATAAAAGATTTGATAGAGTACTCGATTACAAAAATATTTGATAGCTGCAGCCCTACATCATATTGCTCGAAGTACAGGGAGACTATCACGAGATAAACCTCACACTCAATAGCTCGACATTTTACCAAGTTTGGTAAGCATGCTGCTTTTCAGGACTTTTATTTTGTGTTTTTCGCACTCTGCTTCCGTACATTTAACATTTTGACTCTATCTGCGTAGTTTGGGCAGATTTCGTTCTCTGCTTCTCCAGTCTGAATCAGCACTTCTTTAAAGAAGAAGAAATAGTTAAATGCAACAAAGGGAAATCAGTCTGTTCATGCGACTTGTATCAACAAATAAGTCTGAACAGTGTTAAAGGTTATTCATCTAAAAAATAGACCTTGAAGAGTTTGAAGATTTCTTTTTAATAAGTTCATCTTAAAACATCTTTCTCCAGTAAAATAATGTTTCCTCTGTGAGGTCAGATAGGCCCATCTGTGCTGTTTTGAAACAGAAATAAACAAATGAATCATATTTGTCCACCCAAATACTTAAATATCACAAAAACAGGAAGGACAGAAACACCGTCAAGGTAAAGTAAGAAGTTTTATTTTTAAATAAGCGGCTGTTTGTGATTAATCATGAGTTAACTATGGACATGATTTATATCATTATTAAATACCCTATGTGGCCTATAGGCTATGTAACTCAGATTTAATATGAAAAATTAGACAAACCTATTTTCTAATTAGGTATTTGCTCTATGTTGATATATATTTCATAAACATTTACGGGCCAAGGGGAACATCAGCTGCTGATGGTATAATTTGAAGAAAAAGGTCCATTATGCTAACCTCCTCCCTTCTTATTCAGAATTTTCTAGTTGTGTATAAAGTGTGTATATTGTGTCTCTCTAGTTCTTAATAAAGGTTAAATAGTTTTGAGTTTAGTCATTTCACATGCCAGTGATTCATAATATAAACCTATAAATAATCTATTGCAGTATTTTTTACCATGATTTAAAACTTTTATCTTATTATAGAATGAATATGACAAATTATCTTTTTGTGTTTGAATACAGGCTCAATGAACAAGTACATTCAAGGAGGAGCTCACGCCAGAAATTCAGATCAGCCCTCCACCAGCAGTTCAAGAGCTCAAGATCAGTTGTCAGCCATCACGTCTGAACCTTCTACAACATCACCCAGCCCTGACCAGGATCAGACCGAGCACAGCCCACAGCCAGCACTTCTGAAGGCAGAGTGAGTCCTGGATCTGAAAAAGCATCTGAAAATTACATTGGAGAAACACATGTTTCCACATCCGGTGCTTGTGTTGTGTGGATCCGTTACATAGTTCTAAATAATAACAATAAGGAGTTCCTGTGTTGTGTATGTTATATTATGTAAATATCAATCCTACTTTCTGGAAATAATGACCAGTTTGTGCATAAAAGAGATTTAAAGAGAATTTAAGGCGAAGCGCCTGCACATACTGTGTTATTGTGTTGTTTTTTCTGCCGAGGGGGGGGGGGGGGCGGGGGACCACGATGCCTTTGTACTTAGGGCACCAAAATAGCTAGCAACGGCCCTGTCAGTGCACATCTCCAACATTGTTCTTTACAACACATTCTCTAACAATATAACAATCTACCTTCTGTTCAAACAGCTGTTCTGAGATTTTCAAACCTTTAAAATGAAATGACTCAGCACTCCCTTTCACACTTGTTCCAGTTTCCCTAGACTCACCTGCACACAACTAAAATAATCATCTGGAAAGCTTTAGCACATTTGATATGGAAAACACATTTTTGTAACCAATTAAAATATTTTCTATGGCAAAATATGCAGGCTTATTTCATTTTACTTTCATTCTAATAGCGATCTGTTGTGGGCTTTGAGCATTTACTAATGAAAATACAACAGGTCACTACTATTATTTGGACATTAAAATTATTATAATGAAACTGATGTTTGCACATGAGTTGGCTCACCTTCTATCCCAACAGGATCAATACCCTCACTGCTGGCTCCCGGCTCTTCTTCTGACACTACATTGTGTGAAAATGGTCACAATTCAGCATTTATTTTCCTTTTTTACACGCTTTCTGATCAATGCTGAATCATCTAGCATTTTAGGACACTTTCATATAGAGCCAGGAAAGTTTTCATCATATAAATTTTAATAATATTCAGTTCACTGACTCAGTAAGTAATCCTACCTGTACATGCCCGCTCTGGAATTGTGGGCTTCTGCCTGGTGCCTATTAGGCCCACTGGATCTTGTGTTTGACTCTGAGGGGCTACAAGACAGTTTGGTGGCATCAGTCACATCATACTGTTAATTATATTACATAACGTTATGTCATGATGCCATATAATTCATTATTGATGCTTAATTAACTTGAATGGTGATTTGCAGCCGGTAAAGTTTAACATCTTGACTTGCCTTACCCGTTTTATCTTCATTTGAAGTTAAAGACCGCGAGCTTGTTTGAGAAAAAAAGGTGCTCATTTTTGCACATTTAGCTGCATGTTTCCAGCGCTTTCCTCTTTTTAATTCTTGCCTTCTCCGTGCCACCCTTGCTCTTTCTACTTTCCATCTTTCCATCAACTGCGAGGTCACGTGGTGCGCACAGGCGCATACGGGAAAAAAAAAAAAACGAGCTGCAGCCTGCAGGTAGAGACAGCCGGGAGGAGCGTATGAGATCAGCCCGGCGGCCTCAGTGCCATGACTGAACACCGGCACCAAAAAATAAAAATAAAATGATAAAAAACAAAAACGAGAGCACCGGCCCATGCGGCCCAAACATCGCTCGGCCCACCGGGAATTCTCCAGACCCTCCCGATTAGCCACTCCGGGCCTGAATCCATCAGGTTTTTGAAGGGGTGGCTTGACCTCTACAGTGGGTCTGTTGGATTATTTGTGTATTAACTCACCTGGGTCACAATGCTCCAGGGTTTTATCTGACCTTTGAAAAACTAGTTAGAGCTTGCTAGAATTGCCTTGATTTAATTCCACAGTCACTTATATTAGGTGCAGACACCACATAACTCACTATCTCTTCATTCAGCATCAGCATTATGTAGTCATTCTGGACACACGGTCTGGTTTCTAATCTAATCAGGGAATGCCCTTGGAGGGTTAGAATAGATTATGACAGCCAAGTATAGGAACTCTTGGAAAGATCCAAAGAGCCCGGCATTTCTGTATTTGTGCTTGCACTATTGTCTCTGCTATTTATTTATAAACCAAGATAAAAATGAATCACTGCCTCATCGTATTATTGAGGTATCGCCTTGGTAAAATTAAAGTGAGTTGAAATACTTCAAAATCTCTCGAGCATCTCTCCCCTGTGAGGACAGAACCAGAGAGGTTCTAACCGAGCTTCATCAGCCCGCCGTGGACCGGATCTCAGAAACAAATCCAGCAAGACCATTATTTAAATATTGCAGCTCATGGGAGAGGTACTGTAATGTCCCACCATACAGTGATAATAATGTCATTCATCCACCAGTACCTGTGTCCATGCTGTCCAGGTCCAGTTGGTGAAGAACGCACGATGAATCAGTCCCAGCTGATGGATGATCCTGAAGTGGTAGCAGGTTTTCTTTAGCCGTGTTTAGCTAACAGCTGCAATAGAAACAAAGCAGGAGAGCTGATTAAGATGCTGCTTCAGAACAACGCAGGAGATTAAAGATCCAACGCTTTGGTTCTGATCAGCTGAGGACAGCTCCATTCTGGAAAAGAGGACCTTTGGTCACCAGAGTTCACGGAGTAGAGCTAACCGCCTCAAAAATTCTCCTCACACACCAGAACAACAAGCTAGCTCTGCTAGCAACTTTCGGTTTCTGCTTCTTCCGGTGGTCGGTGACCAGTGTAAAGGTGCACTACCGCCACCTGCTGGACTCTGAGCTCTGATAAGCTAAAGAATAAACGAATTATGCATTTTCTACATGTGATCAATTGAATATAATACTATAATTATTATATAGCTATGCTAAAAATATTCTACATACATAAGTAATACACAATTCTAACACAACAGTTGACCTTATTTTATTTAATCTTTATTAAACTAGACGAGTCGACTGAGACTCATTCTCATTTGTGACGATCTGGCCAAGAGGCAGCAGCAGCAGACTCATAGTTAGCTTTACACCAAGGACGTTTGTATTTTGGACAGAGAACACAAGTGGTCTCAGAGAAGCTTCTGGAAGCTTTAGAATAGAATAGACTTCGTTGATCCCACAGTGGGGGAATTAGTTATAGCAGCATCAACACTTAAAGAGCGGGTCAATTGAGCCTCGGAGTCCTTCTCCACCCACGTATCAATTTTAAAAAATGCAACATTAGTAGGCGTTGCCTGGAGGACCGAGAGGGCGGAGCCGCGGCAGTGACGAAGACGATGGCTAACTAGACGAAGCTAGCTCCCTTCACTCTGAGCAGTTATTAGAAGTGGAGGACGTTTCTCCCCCTCCTTACCCAGACACTCGAGAAGAAAGGGACCAAGTCTATTTGGAGGAGACAAGCGGACCTGAGTCTTATTGTTTTGAGCTTGTGAGTTGCCTGAAACTCCCAGAACCGACCCAACAGAACCACCTCTGAACGGTAAGTAGCCGTTAGCCATAGCATTGGATTAGCTGCAGTGTTTGGCTCCACGGCCCTAAAAAGCTAGTATTCAGCATGTTTTAGAGGTTTATCTGCTTCAACACACCTGGTTTTAATCAGCAACAAATAGCTGAGCTGCTTAACAGCTTATCTAACCTGTTAAAGCAGGAAAATCCACTGAAACGTGCTGGATAGCAGGTCTCCAGGAGCCTTGGGCTCAAGTTACAGTCTGCTGCATAAAGTTATGAAAATACCCCATGAGAAAATTATTCTGTAATGTGTTCAGCCCACTAAAACTGCCCTGATTTCTTTATTTATTTACTAATAACAGCTGCTCTCTCGGTTCTAGGTCCTCTGGTGTCTGCAGCTGGTCTGGTGTCGTCAGGATCAGGAGCTTCCAGAAGAATGTGCCTTTCAGTGACTCTTTCCCCCTTATTTGTTATATTAATTAAATAAATCTCAATTTATATATTTCCTGTTTTTGTTCATGTCCATAAATACTTAAACATGCTTGAAATTAAAACGAGCTTTTAACAGTGAGGTGCTAGTTTAATTCATCACAATAGAGCTAGTTAAACATGCAACAATGTGATAATTCAATTAATGTAATTTATAAATATCCATTAAAATATCAAAACTGGAATCTAAATGAGATATTTGGCAGCACAAAAAACTTGTCAAATACAATATTTATTATAATAATTTTAGGCAGACAGGAGACAGAGCTGATGGAGGTTCTCAGTCATCGAAGGATGGCTGAAGGCTTTCCAGGAACAGGACATGTGGTGTTGTCTCTTCTCTCTCTATTCTGCCAGATGAGCTGATAGGTTACAGGTGTGTGAGGACATCCTCATGCTGTCACAACCAGATGACAGGAGTTATCAGGTGATCAGCCAGGCTAATGATGAGATGCAGAAAGAAAACAAATTCAGGACAGTGTACAATAATATGTGGTGTTGCTCACCTTATGTGCTCTTATAGAATATTAACGTGTGCCTGCCTCATGGTGTAGAGTCTATATTTTGCTGAGTGTCCTGCAATAATGCAGGTTATTAGTTAATTTACTTTTGATAGCAAAAACAAAATGTTTAATGTAAAAGTTATTTTCCAGGTGAATCAGCTCACACGTCACCACCAAGTGTCACGGGGGCAGAATCAGTATCCTCCTTCATGATGTAATCACATACTTATTTAATTGTTAATATCTTAAAAATTCTGAAATGTTTTAATTTTTTTTTTACCTTGAACAGTTCACTGAGCTTGCACTGTCACTGAGGTGGAAGCTGGAATCAACAGCAGACACCTTACATCTTGGTCTTTTCAGGGGGTCTGGACGCTCTGGGACTTTCTGGAAGATGAATTTTCATCATGGTCCCCGTAGGTCACCAGACACACAGCGGCTGTGAACTCCATTCTGGCTGGCTATGTAAAAACAAAGAAGCAGCACATTTATAAATGTTTAAAAGAGCATAAAATCAGGTGTAACAATAATCTGTAAAACAAATTAAAACTAGAAGGTAATAAAATGTTTACATAGAAGATTATTAAAAATAATTCACCTTTGCTACAGGGAAGGTTTCACGTCAGCCTGGACAAGTGGATTCTTGCAGCTAAATCAGTCTGACAGCCAGTGTCTTGGGCAGATTTAGCCTGAAAAAAAAATAGAAGCACATTGTTGTTGGGAGTTTATAAAGTCAGATAATATACAAAAGAATCTCCTATATAGGCGCTTTATAACATTCCTAGTGTGTGATCGTTGTTATAACGTAAAAGTCAGTCACACATGATGTGGAGAGCCTGAAATGTGACCTCCTGAAGAGAATTCCTTACAGAACCGGGTCACAAGCTGGATTTCACGCTGTAATGCTGTCTGTCAACTAGTGCAGCGTTAGTTAGAGACACTGTTGCAGAATTACCGACTGACTAGCTAAAGGAAGTGAACCACGTCTCTCAGACTTTGCATTTAGGTAGGAAATTGTCTTTAGAAGATGTTAAAACGTTTATTTAGCTGACTCACCTCAGACTGGAGCCCGCCGTGGTGGGGGAGCAGAGTCGGTGGGCTGCATCTAAATCGCGGAAGAGCCACGGTGGGCAGCCTCCCTCTTCAAACGGAGACGTGCAGAATCGCGGGTAAAATGCCCACAGAGTCACCGCAACCATACTACATTACACCATCTCACCAATACTAAGACGATATGGAGCACTAAACCCGAAATACTTCCCCAATTACACTAACAGCCAAACACTAACTAAACTACAATATCCAACAGCCAAGCTAACACTAAATAAGTATTTATAACACTAAAAGATATGCTAAAGACTAGGATATGCTAATGCTATATGCTAATGCTGAACTACCGCTGACCTCCTACACTCGCTTGCAAATCCAACTCCCACTCGCCACAGGGCGTGGCCGAGACGCTCGTTGCTTTTATAACTTTGGCACGGAGCTGCTACGTAGTACTCTACTGGTTTACGTAGTACTTTACTCTTTAGCCATTGGCTAAAATTTATTCAAAATGACTCAAATTCTATGTTTTCAGCTGAAGGTGGCGCATTACTGTGGTTTTTAGACAGAATTTTTAATTTTTAAAGAAAATGCACCAAAATGCTAAAATAAAGAATGCACACATTTAAACACTATTAGACACTCGTGTATACAGTTCATCAGCAAAAAAAGTTAATTTAGACGTTACTTGCTCTTTAAGAGAATAATTTGAAGAAAAAAGTTAGCAAAGCTACGTGTATTTATACACACAGGCAGCAGTCTAGAATTGTGACCTTCGACCACTAAAAACCACAAATAAAAAAGGAAAAAACTTTGGTTCCAACACTGCAGCATAGTGCAAGAGACACGTACATACAATGTAAATCTGGTATTGAATGAGTATTGAAAACATACTGAATATTGCATTGGTGGTATTGTGTACCAGGATAATGTCAGTACCAGTTAAACTGAGGAGTTCTCACTCTTACTGGAGAGGGGATGAATGACCTACGGTAGTGTTCTGTTTTACATCTGGGATGTCTCAGTCTGCCTCTGAAGGAGCTGTCCATGGTCTCTACAGTGGAATGCAGTGGGTGGGAGGATTTTTTTTTAAGATGGTGGTCATCTTCCCCAGCATCCTCCTTTCACACGTCTCCTTAACTGAATCCAGTGGGCAGCTAGAACCGAGCTAGCCTTGTTATCCAACGTGTTCAGTCTCTTCCTGTCTTGATCAGAGCTGCCTGCACCCCAACAGACCATAGCAGAGTGGACAACAGAGCCAGCCACAGAGTGATAAAAGGATTTTAGCAGCTGGGAATTAACTCCAAAGGACCTCAGCCTCCTCAGGAGGTAAAGGTGGCTTTGGCCCTTCTTATACAGAGCATCTGTGTTGTTGGACCAGTTCAGTTTGCTGTTGAGGTGAATAAGCAGGTACTTAAAGGTATCCACCTTCTCAATGTCTGCTCCCTGGATGTTTACCGGTGAGTGAGGAGGAGTGTGTCTCACCTATAAAGCTCTTAATAACCAAGCTCCATCATACATCAGTGATCTGATTGTTCCATATGTTCCTAACAAAGCACTTCACTCTCAGACTGCAGGTTTACTGGTGGTTCCCAGAATATCTGAAAATAGGAATTTGATAGTTAAAACTGCTTTAATCTTTAATTTTGTCTGGTTTCCTTCTCATCTAAAAAGTTTGGCAGAATCAAGAGACACAGATTAAATCTCAAAAACATTTTCTTATCTTTGTTAAGACAGAAGATTAGGATTCGTCACTTTCTGAAGTTCTGACAATTCACCCTGAAAACAAGTTCTCTGGACATAACTTACAAAATCTAAGTTAAATTTCACAGTTTTTTTCTTTTTTGTTATAGATCTTTTTAACCAAACCTGGTGACTTAAATCTTAAAAACGTATATATTTTATCATCTTGGTTAGGATTGAAGCTTAGGATGGAATCTGTGAAAAACAGACTTGACTAGACAAGACAGCTTTATTTATATAGCACATTTGCCAAGCAAAGGCAACTCAGTATGCTTTACAGCAATAAAGGACAAAAAAAAAATGAATAGAATTAGATATAAAACACTGAAGACTAAAACTAGAAAACACACACAGTCCTGTAGACTGCACAAGTAGATGAATGAAGAACAGAA